TACTTTTTTATTCACCTAGCCTATTGTCTGGTGGCGATATTTAGGTTAGATTTTATAAATTCAATTTACTTTTTAAGAATCTTTGAAATTTACTTCTTAAAAAGTTACATTTGCTGTTTTCTTTTTTTTTACTTTCTAATTCAACTATTTTTTGTACTAAGTGTTTAGAATCGAATAACAATATTATGTTTGTTATTTTATTTTTAATGCAACAGTTTATTACATATTGTAGGTTTTAATTTTTCATTTATCTATTTCTTTAAAACTGATTTATAAAAAAAATTAATATTTGTATTAATATGGTTGCATTCTATTTTATTAGTTATTTTATGAGATATTTAAATTTCTTTGAATTATTTTTAATTTTCAATTACCTGTGTTTTTTTGTTATAGTCAATAAAGTTCAAGCAATCCCAGCAGGAGTAGCGGCTGCAACACCCTTTATCTGTAAATGGTAAATAAATGATTTGTAGATTTTATAGTTAAATATGAAACTAAAATATCATTCAGCTATTTCAATTGTTTTTTTTGTTGTTGTTATTTTTACGTTTATGTTATGAAGCATTTGTACGCTATTGAGATAATAAGAAGGGTCCAAAAAATTTATTTACATATCCTTATCTGGTTCATGAAAACAGCAATATTTTTAAATTAAAAGGATTGTATTTTTTCCAAAAATAAATATTGTGTTTTTTGTTTGTTTGTTTTGATTATATTACCTTTATTATCTCATGATGGTAGAGTTCTTTTTCATACTAAGTGCAATACATATAAGTGCAACTAATATGTATTAGAAACATTTTAAATTTATTATTTAACATTTTTTTTATTTCTTTAGTTCTGTTTGAAAATGAGATTTGCTTAAAAAAAAAAAAAAAATTGAATAAACTAGTTCATTACTAAGCACAAATCAAATCAAATCAAATTTATTCTGAATAAAAGATCTTATATCTCTAAATAAAAGATCTGAATAAAAGATCTTATATCAAGAATATTTACAAATAGTAATGATACTAATCTCTAGAAAACACCCATCGAATTTAATTATAATAAATATAATTAAATTCGATGGGTGAATTTAATTATAATAAATCAGGGGTGCGGAGAGGTAAAAAAAAAGCAACGACTCCGACTCCAGTTGTTGAAATTTTTTGAGTACAACTCTGACTCCGACTCCACAGTCCTTGTGATAATAAGAAGAAAAGTAGAAATTAGATAAATGGTGATAATTATAAGAAAAGGAACAAATATTAGTAACTGTAAAAGTTATATAACGATGTTACCCACAAAAATAATACCAACAACAATATAAATAATAACTATAAATTAAAATAATTTCAATAATAATAACAAGTTAATAATAATAATAATAATAATATAAAAATAATATTAGTAAAAACTGATATTATAATAGTGTTAAGTAATACGATTATAATATCAGTATTAATGTATTATAATAGTATTAATAATAATAAAATATGAATGATAGCAGTAATTATTAGGAATATATTTATACAATGATATAAAACAAAAATAATAAGGGAACATCACTAGTATTTATCAAAATTTAACAATAATATTAGTAATAATAATAATAAAAGTCATTGTTACAAAACTAAACCATATAACTATATATATATATATATATATATATATATATATATATATATATATATATATATATATATATATATATATATATATATATATATATATATATATATATATATTATATATATATATATATATATATATATATATAAATCTATATATATATATTTATATATATATATATAAATATATATATATATTTATATATATATATAAATATATATATATATATTTATATATATATATATATATATATATATATTTATATATAAATATATATATATATTTCTATATATTTTTTGTTTGTTTATTATCATTAGAAATAATATTAGAAGCCTCTTCCTAATTTCAAAAATGTAATAAAACAACTTTTTTCACCGGGGGCCTAATCATGTATTTTATGCAAGTGCCTAGTAATTTTGTTGTTCAAGATAAGTAACTAAAAGCTATGTGGCATACTCAAATTTTTAGTATGTTAATACTGGTATCGATTGAAGATGAATAGCAAAAACTTTAGGTAATTGGAGCTAAGCCAACCCCGAATTGCCCCCTTCCTAGAACTACGTCTCCTAAGCTAATAATTTTTTTTTTAAAGTTATATCATAAATTAGACCAAAATTTATCGACAGATTTTAAGTTTATTAAAAAAAATATCTTTTCGTTTAAGATTTGTGACCATAAGAAGTTCAAAATTCCACAACATATATATATATATATATATATATATATATATATATATATATATATATATATATATATACATATATATATATATATATATATATATATGTAATATATATATATATATATATATATATATATATATATATATATATATGTATATATATATATATATATGTATATATATATATATATATGTATATATATATATTTATATAAATATATATATATATATTTATTTATATAAATATATATATATATTTATATATATATATATATATATATATATATATATATATATATATATATATATATATATATATATATATATATATATATATATATATATATATATTCTTTTGTTACCTGAAGAAATATGCAAATTTTTTTTTGCAGTAAAGTTCTTTGCAAGTAACATACAAAAATAATTGATTAAAGACCTGCTTGTTATGATGCAAGTTTGCATTTTAAATAGTCAAGTGCATATATTTGTATATATAAACTGTTTCAATGCATATAATTGCATATTTATATTTAAAAAATAGGGGAAATCTTAGCATAAGAGTATTTTTTTTTACTGCATTTTTTATTTTTTTGTTGCAATATTTAACAAACTTAGTACAAAGTATAATAAATTATTTTCATTTAATAATAATCTCTAAGCAATTTAATTTGTAGGATTATTATTTGTAGTTATTAGTTATGTTAATATTATTTAGATTCATCTGACTTATTAAATATTTACAGTTAAACAATACCTGCAATGTGCAAAACATAAATAACTTTTCGAAAAGAATGGCGATAAGTCCGGAACATCTTCAACACATAAACTAATTGAGGAAAAAAATCCTAAAGTAGTTCTATATTACATTTGCAGGTTGCTCATTATTTGCGTGGTGCTTTTGTGACATAATTATTATAGATTTTTTACTTAAGTATACAGAGCAAAAAAGTCTTTGCACAACTTATGTTAAAGAGTTGTGCAAATATTGTATTGAAACTATTTTAAAAATTAGCAACTCTTGTTTGTGAATGAAATATATGAAATTCTTTTGGGAGATCACAAATGCTTTAATTGCAGCATAAGCTTTAAAAAAAAGGATTAACGAAATATATTTTGTTACACTGCATTATCTACTTGTTAATATAAGACTGCTTTGTATTAAAATATAATAACACAAATATGTTATTCATAATTCCATAATATATATATATATATATATATATATATATATATATATATATATATATATATATATATTAGGGTAGGTCGATTTTAATTCCGCATATTGCGTAATATTGCAGTAGTTGTAGACAGTTAAAATATGATTACTCTCAAAATTTGAGAGAATTTGGATAAAGAATCGCTTGCGGATTTAATTTTTAAGATTTGTTGGATTATGTAAAAAAACACCTTAAAAAGCGTTATATGCAAAACTTGACGTTTTAACTAAGTTCATATTTAAATGTTTTTCAATACAATTTGCTTTGCTGTATGATTTAAGTTTATAACAGTTTATAACAATTAAGCTAAATTTATATCAACTTGTTAACTATTTGAAGATTTAAATAGTGAAACTTTTATTCTTATATTTACATAAGAATATCCAAATAAACATTTTCACAAATTAAAAGATTTTGGCTATGGATATATATATTTTAGGAAAACATTTTCAATTAAAAAATATCATAATAAGAATGGGAATAATGCTCTTTTGAAATATAAGCTTTACGCATCTTCCTAATAAGTAGTTTAGTTAAAATGCAGCTGTGTCGATTCTCGAATCCATAAACATATTGGGATGCGTCCGACACAAGTTTTACCGCTCGCTCAACACTCTGGGAGTGAGATGGAAAGACGGGGATTTCAGGTTTAACATTATTGTCAATCGCATATTGGATTTGCTCAATTGAAAAATGTTGTGTTGTTGGGGGCTCCGTAAATTTAGTAATGCTGATGTCTACCAACTCATACCAATGATTAGCATTAAAATTAATTTCTGGAATTTTTTTCAAATTTACTTCCAAACTTTCGTTGTTTACTCTATAAATATAAATCAAATCCAATTACCACATTTAATGTATCATTTTTTTTCAAAACTTTATTTTAGTTTACCATAAAAAAATACCTTTGCCTTAGACCCAGTAGGATTTGAAAACCAAAGTTTCGTATCTTGCTGTCATTATCTTTTAACATGGCATAAAGAATATTTTCAGGTTTTAGGCACAATGCATTGTTTTTAATGTTTTTTTTAACAATATATTTAACATCATCAAAGGGGAGATTATTTATTCTAGTGATAGTAGAAAAAATAACGCGCGGGGATTCGTGAAATTTTGAAGATTTTTTTATATCGAACCACGCTGGAGCGTAAACCTGAACAATAAAACATACGAGTTTTTTTAAAGAAACACTTGGTTGATTGTCTCTAGTATACAAGCAGAGAAGGCGAATAGCTAGAGTTAACCACCTTGCATGATTAAGCGGTCCAATTTTATAGGCGGCCCATTTATCAGAAACTTTACCAAAGCCTATTCCTTTGCAATATTCAAATAAAAGTCTTTGATCGCAACTAAGGTCTACTAGAATTTCTTCTGGAATATATCCATCTACAATTGGGTTTTTAATACAATTAAAAAAAACTTGATTTTTATCCTGAATATTTTCAGCACATCTTTTGCCAAGTAGACCACTAAAGTTTCTTGGCCCAGTTGTGTCACCATCAAGTTTTACAAAAAGAGCTCCTAACGGAAGTTCATTTTGATGTAATGCGCATCCAATTAGATTAAGTTTTCTTTTTAAAAACTCTTCTAGTTTTACCACTAAGCCACTTATTGGTCCAGTATTGGTAGCAGTATTATCAAGAAGAACAGCTTGTATACTTTCCAAACTGTTATGTTCTTGTAAAACACTAAACGTTTAGGTAGCAAGAACTAAACCTGTAGCACCGGTGACAGGAATCGTCCTATGAGTCAAATAATTTCCACTCGATTTTCCATCTTCATAAGTAAATGTGAGGTGATGTTCAGGTTCAATGCATTTCTTTAGTACTTCTCCTTGAGGTAAGTTTATTATTATACTTGTTTTAGTTATTTGATCGAGCTTGCTGTCAAACCCAAGACAAATTAACTGTTTTTTTTGTTCTGAGTCCACCTCTTCACTAACGATTTTTACTTTTGACTTGGCCCTATCTAACTTGCATTTGTCAATCAAAATATCTTTAATATCAACGTCATTTTTCAAGAGATGTTTTATGTCATGTAGTAAAGCATTTGCTAGGGCTGCACCTACGTTTGGCGAACACTCATTTCTGACTAATTCCATTGCAAATTTTGAAAGTTTAACTAAGTTGTATTTTCCAATAGGATTATTTACTGGTTTCCATTCACCTTCATCCTAAAAAGGGTTAATAAAATAAAACGCTTTCTGTTTCATCTGTTACAAATATTTCATGTATTTATAAAATATTTACCTCCGTATTGGTCAAACCACTTGTTTCTTCAATTAAGTTTACTTGTGCTATGAGGGATTCGTCTTCATTAACTAGCTTATAAGATATTTTTTGTCGTTCTTTATCAAGGCTTTGAATCCTTTTGACAGATAATCTATCGACGGAAGAAAGTTGATATGCGCCTTTTGGACCACTTTTTTTCCTCTGATCACGAAGATAAGCTCTGTCTTACAGAGGTACTTTATTACTTTGAGAACAAAGGCATACAATATGTTCTTCGATGCAATTTTCTTTATTACATGAAACTTTTCTGTCACTACAGGGAAACACATCTAATGAACAGGAACACGCAGAAATATCAAAAAGTTTGTCCAAGTTTGCATCAAGATTTCTTTTAGCGCTTGCTTTTCCGTGCTTGCGATTAATACCTTTTACAAGTACGAGAAGATCTTTAACTTTCCTATTAATAGATTTGTCAGTTATAAGAGGTAATCTTGGGTTTACTGTAGCCCAAATTGATTTTATATTATTGCTAATTTGCTAAGTCACTAATACGATATCTGCATTTGGATTTATATGAATAAGATAGTAATAATACTGAATAACCTGTCTAAAAGTGCTTGGATCTGTCGTTGATAGTTCACATGGGCCGCCACAATATTTCTTTTTTTCACTTTTCATCCTTGTAATTGCAACCTTTACTTTCGGCATTTTTGTAGATTAATTATATATATAAACTGTATTAAAGTATTACACTCAGAGTAATGGGCAACAGCGTGAGTTTTTAGTGGGGGCCAAAGCATCAAAAAAACTTAAAATATTAAAATTTACTATTAAAAACCTGCTTTGATAAAAAAAAAAGAAATAAAACTCTTTTGAAAAGATTTGGGGGCCATGAATTCAGGAATCTCAGGAATTGAGTAAAACCATTAGTTCCATCGAAAAGTTTTATATTTTAATCTACTTCAGAAATTGCAAATCAAAACTTATGTAATATAAACAGTTTAAAACATTACTCTAGATATAATAACCATAAGTATTTACCTTTGATATTAAAAGATTTCTTTAAATTGCAGTTTTATTTTTGAACCTACTTTTTAATAAATTTAACTTTAAAACTAACTTTAAAATACAAGCAAGAAATATAAATACAAAAAAGATTTGCTAAGTTTAAATGCGTGTAAACGATTTAGCGAAACTTTATTGGCTTCTTAAAACAATTGCGCTTGTTAATTGGTTACTTTATAAACTCAAAACGAGATATTTTAAAACGAGATTACTAGACTTAAAATAAAATTTTGTAACGTTTGAAATAAACAATCTAACAATACTAGTCCAAAATTAAGACTTAAAATGCAAATCCGCAAGCCATTTTTAAACCAGGGTACTTGAGATTTGGTAAAACCTCATTTCTAACCTAGACACAGAAACTGCAACATTACGCAACTCAAAATTCAAAAAAAAAGCTAAAATCGACCTACCCTAATATATATATATATATATATATATATATATATATATATATATATATATATATATATATATATATATATATATATATATATATATATATATATATATATAGTTAGTAAGTTTTGCTGTAACTAGCTTAGTAACCCAGTGAGTATGAGTTTAATGATACTGTGTTAGCCTAAACAGTATCCTTAAAGGCATATTGTCAACTTATTTCTCATTCAGCAACCTTGTCTGTTGAAGTTCGTTATAGAAAGGGTTGTAACCACAAAAGTAGCCTCCTCATCTGTTGTCGGTGTAGAGGTGAATAATTTTATATATATATATATATATATATATATATATATATATATATATATATATATATATATATATATTATATATATATATATATATATATATATTACAAACAAATATTAGCAATTTAGCTGATTTCTGGTACTGCAGGTAAATGTAACATAAAAAGAGTTTATTATCAAAATACATTTGTATTATAAAATATATTTATATGTAAAATTTATATTATAAAAATGTGTTTTATATGATTAAAAAAAACACTGGTTTTGAAAATTTTTTGAAGAAAAAATATTTTTGGAGTCCCTCAAGACCCTGAAACATATAACGAGTTCCTAATATTATCAACAAAAAAATCTTCAAAAGCCTATCTTGACATTTCGTCTCAAATTAAGCGAAATCGTGAAAATTTCAAATATGATAATTATTTTTTTAAAAAATTATTGAAAAAAAAATATTGCCAAAAATTAATAAAAATGTACATTTTTCTTTTTTAGTTAATAAACTTTTTTTATGGTGTTAAATCTAACATTGACATTTTTATATAATTTTTCTTCATTTGAGACCAACATGATACACTTAAATATATTTTTTTTTTAAATATTAGGAACTTGTTATGTTCAAGGGTCTTGAGGGAATCCTCAAAATATTTTTTATTCAAAAAATTTTAAAAACTAGTTTTTTTTTATTATATAAAACACATAAGGTGTGTGGAAGCATATATTGTTCAAAAATGTTCATTTTAGGAAAACCCTATAAAATAGGTTCTATGATAAATGTGATAATATGATAAAGGTTCTATATTGATGATATATTGAAGTGTTTTTTACTTTTATTATTTTTGTTACTAAATATATATATATATATATATATATATATATATATATATATATATATATATATATATATATATATATATATATATATATATATATATATATATATATATATATATATAGAGTCATAAAAATGAAAAATAATTTTAATGACTATATATTATATTAAATAAGTTTTGAGATGCTGAGACATAGTACATCTCAGCATCTCAAAACCTACAGTTGTTTTGGGACTTCTATTTTATGCATTGACTTATTTGTCAATTTTGCCTAGAACTATTAGTTAATTTTGTTGTATATTTAAGTGTTGCAATTAAGTATTACTAAAAATATTTATTAAAAACAGTCTAAGATTAAATTAACTGTAAATTTATTATGGATTTGAACCAAATTTACATAAAGTGACCCTAAATACAGTCCAAAAAAAGGTTATTGTTCAGGGCCACTACTTTTTAAACCCTTCTACTTGATGGAATTTTATTTGTATAAGTCAATATACTTATACAAAGTAATTAGTATAGAAATGCGATTGTATCAGTTTCGCCATTTTTACACAAACTTCCCCTAGACTTTGTTGGACCTCTTGCTTAACAAAACTTGGAAAAAAATGTATTGTTAAAATTACTGATTGTTAAAATAAATATACTGAAAAAATAACAATTTATGTGACTACTTTATTTTATAGATTTTTGATACTCATCAAAAAACTCTAAAATTTTAGATTATTTTATATAGTCCGCTTATTTTCATCAAACCAATCAACGAGAAAAAGGTTCAGAGTTTAAACTGGTAATAATATTACAAGTTAACAAAATGCTTTGAAATTAACAAAGTGCTTTGGAAAAGGCTATTTGTTAATGATAGTATCATTGTAAAAATGGGCTGTCGAAATTTTCTAAAGTTTTCTTTAAAGTTTTTCAATACAGTCTAAAGACAGATATTTTAAGAGACTCATCTGGCTGGCCAGATGACACCTTGATTGATATAGCACAAAGTTTACTTTTATATCAGTTTTCTAAAATATTTAGATTTCCAAGTTTAAAATATCTGAGTTTTTTTGCATTTTTACTTGTTTTAGTTCAAGTGGTTTTTCAGAAAGTTATATTGGGTGTTTCTAAGTAATGTGTCCTGATGTTGTTTCACATTGGAAGTGTGTTCAGTTTTATGATTCACTCTTTAATAGTTTAAGTAGAGATGATGTGCCATTGTTAGTACATTGTTTGTACATGAAAATGATTGTGACCTTTTCTTAAAAAGAAATGCGACGGTATGATGGTGCGACAGTATATTTGTGTAGCAGTATCAACCTAAGTTTGATTATATAAAAAGGTAATGAAATGAGCTAACATTACTTGAAATGTATTAAGAATGGAACATTAGAGATGTTTCCATTTGTTACTATGTTATACTTTCATAAAAGGTGTGCCTTTAGTAATATCATTGTTGTGAATGTATCCTATTATTACTGCTGTTTTTGTTTTTGTTTTTATGACTTATTTAAATATTTTAATTCAATCATTATATTTAAATACATTTTTTTTATTTTATTATTGGTTTGTTTATGTTTGTTATTGCTCATGTTGTTTTTTTTATTGTTGGTATTGTTTATGTATGTTTTAGTTAGTATTTAAAAATTTCATTACTTATTTAATTTTTGTAAGTGTCTTATAGATGTCCAAATTTATACAATTGGCTAATTTAGGTCAACTAGTGCTTGTTCTTTTTTTTGTTACTGGCATGATGATTTGTTTCGCTCACTTTGTAGTTTGTTTTTTTTCTTACTGTCATCAGTTATTCATTTTATCAACAAGGGTTATTGATATAAGATATAGTTAATAGGTACAGTTATTAAAGTCAGTTCTTTATTTACATACATTTGTTGCAGTTGCAGTTAACTATAGCTACTACTACAACCACACCAAAAGTAGTATTTAAAAACATGGCTATGTAATTTTTAATTATAATGAGATATTTGATCAATTTTTTTGTAGAATATTGTGAAAGTATAGACTAATCTGACATGTTGATACCATGGCTGTTTTAACATTTTTCACACATTTAGAGTTCATTTCATAAATCAATTTATTGACATATATGGATCAATGCATTTATTAAGTACTCTTCTGGTACAAAAGCAGGTACTTTTATTATTTATTTTTTTTATTCGTTGCAATTTTATGATACTATTTATATTTTACTATATTTCTATACTATCTATATAGGCTTGTAATTCCATGTGGAAAAATCGAATTTCTTCCAAAAATGCCCAAGTTTCAACCAAGTTGATATCTTTTAAAAGAACTTAAAAACCATGTTATTTTATTTTGCTATTTATATTGTGTAAGGATATTTTGATCTTATTTTTAAAATAAAGTTTTAGTGTAGCACGAAGTGTGTCGTTTCTTTAATGTTGTTTTTATTTAAAACATTCACATAGTAAGAAATAGTAAACTAAGTTTAGGTCACATTTTATTATTATTGTGCTATACATACACCGCTAAAATCGTCGAATAATACCTTTCTAGGTTGTTATTCAACGGTAGTACAGTAGTGGTGAAGTGATAGAGCGCTCGCTTCATAATCGAAAAGTTCTGAGTTCGATCACCACCACTACCGCGCTCAACTTGTTTCTCCGCGTAGCGGTCTTGTTCGTCATAATTTATGTTTCGGAGTTAAAGAGTTGTGAGAGGGTTGTAACCAGAATAAAAGCAGCCACCACGACTGGAATGACTTTTTCGTCCTTGAGAATGTAAATTAACACACAAAAAAAGACTTGATAATTTCTCTTCTTTTAGAAAAGAATTAATAAATTATCTTCTTTTTTCTGTGATAACATCAGAATACTTTTGTTACTATTTATCTACGTAGAATCAAGTAGCAATTACAAATTTTACATTTGATCGGTTTAAGGGATAAAGATAAATAATTTAACGTGAAACAATTTGCTAAAATGCACAGTTAAATTATTTAGGAATATAATAAACTTCCTTGTGAGATAACTATTTTATTTGATATCATGACCTAAAAAAAGCTCTTTCTTAAAAATATGTTACTTGTCATACTATACTATTAAGGTATAAATTACGACTAGAATATATGTCGTGAGTTAAATATTATTAAAAGTGGCAAATTATCACTCTAAAAATGCCATAAAATAATAACAATTCGCATGAGAAAGTAAATGCTTTTAGTTCGGTTAACGTATGTTTTTTTTTAATTTATTCGTCTTGGTTAACAAATAATGCCTGGATTGTTCGATTTGTCTATTTATTTAACGATCTACTTATTTAACGTGACTTACTAGGGTAATTCGGAGCAGTACGAGACACTTAAGGATTAAAAATTATGTAAATAGACCTGGAATTAAGCAAAAAACTAAACAAGTGTGCAGTAAATCTTACTTAGGGTAACTCTTTTCAAAACTTATAAGTAAGTTTTTAAATTCATTTTTAATTGGATACACAGAGGATTTTATAAATAGCAACAGCGTGTCTCGTGTTCCCCACCTTACGGGGCAAAACGAGACAACATATGTTATGCAACTAAAGAGAAAAAATACGAGACTTATCCAATTATTTTTTATCATAAAAGATGTTAAATATAATTCATAAAAAATATAGTAACTTTAGCTTAAAAAATTAACCTGCTTGGCTAATCTAACCACAGTTAAGTAAGCCTTAAAAAACATAGTTTAAAATTAAAGATTAAATATTAAACATAAATAATATTAAATATTATTTATGTTTAATATTTAGATTTTTTGTGTAAACTGTGTGTGTGCCATGATAATATTTAAACCGAACAAATTGTTGCACAAGTTATACTCAACTATAAGACATAAATTAATGGATCATAGAATGTTTAAATATAATCATGGCACACACACAGTTTACACCAGTGGCGAAACTTCAAAATTTGGGCCCCCCCCCCCCCCGCAAAAGAATGTTTTTTTTAAAAATAATAAAGCTTCACATATAAATATTATTGAGAGTATAACTTTTTTTATATGAGGGCCCCCTATAGCTGGTAGGCCCCCCCGCAACGCAGGGTCCTGCGTCCAGTAGTTCCGCCACTGGTTTACACAAAAAATCTGTCCCTAACTTAACAAAATAAACTTCATGGCACCATAATTTACACCTAAAGCATTGGACACATTTCTGGCTAGACTCTGATATTTTTTGGTTTTCTCCATATTTAATTTTATCATCATTTTTTAGTTTAATCTTTTTTTCTGATGGTGTTTTTTTGTTATATTTGACTTTTTTTTTTTTGTTTTCTAACCCCTTATGCAAAGTTTTTTTATACGATGTGCTTGTCAAAATTTCTGACTTTTCTCCCTTTCTTTTTGTTGTCTTCACTTCAATAGCTGGAATTGATAATATATCAGTAAAAGAAAGCTGTTGAGAGTTTGAAATTGACAACGAGGCATTTATTTCATTAACTGAAAAACTAGCAATGGATTTTTGAACATTTGAATTTTGGTTCGGCCCAATTAAAGAATTAGTTGTAGATGATTGTTCAGTATTTATATCTGCTACTTCATTAAATATTATGTTTGTATTACTATCTTTTAAACATGGATTTTCAAAATAATCTGACTCAGGAAGGATTTCTCGATTAAAAGGATTGATGCCTGTTACACGAAATCCAGAAATAGCATTTTCCACTGTAGCTGGTTTCACATAAGCTCAGGGCTTGTGATGAATCGAGCGCGATCGCGCTCCGCTCGTGAAACGCGCCCGTAAATGGTATTTTGAAACGTTCCAAGCGCGATAAACAACGCTTGTTCAGCTTATAACGAGCGTATAAAATAACGCTTGTCCAAGAGTTCGGGGCAAAACAAATAATAACTTTTTTTTTTATTTTCCTAAAATATGAAAAAAAGATTTTTTAATAAAGATTTTATATTATCGAAGCACTGATATAATATAAAATAAAAAAAGCACTACGTCGTTTTTTTTTGCACTAACCAGAATGAGCAGTTTGAAGTCGTTAATAGGCACTAATTTCATTGATGGAATGTGCATGTAGAAGTTCAATGCAAATACAAAAATGCACAAATAAAGTAATGAAAAATTAGTAAACCATTATAAGAAAATTGAAACTGCAGAATATTTTTAATCTTGTGAAAACATCAAGTAAGATTTATTTGATTTATTGTTTGTAATATTCCATACATCGTTTATAATAAAAATAAATAATAATGATTTAGTAATTTTTTAAATTAGTTTTTGTTTATTGTATAAGTTTTTTATTAACTATTATTTATTTTAACTCAAATTTAAAACGATTCTGTTGTTTAGAATGTCCGGAATAAATGACATTCCAAAAGGAAAGAAAGTAATATTGTCAACATTTATTAAATGGAAAGTTCAAGAGGTAATAGGCTTTAGAACTGAAGTTACCAGATATGACGAACTGAAGTTACCAGAGTGACGAATTAGCTGCATTCAGTTTCGAAAATGTTGAAGAGGAAACACCGTTGACAACAGTTGAGGGGAAAATCTGTTATTTAACATTTATGGGATGTTATTTAACATTTATGGGACGTATGTGGTGGTAGTGATAAAATATGCAATCCATTTATGCTAGCATAATTTAAAAGATCAAGATTATCAAGATTTTTGGTGTGTGATTTGTGACCATCAAGAATTAACAAACACTTATTTGTAGAGCTACAATTTCCATGTATTACAAAGTGTCTTATAAAATCCATAAACAAATTTGTATCTACCCAACCACTTTTAGAACAACGTCTAACTGTTCCTGGTGGTGCATCATCAATCAATGAATCTAGCATCCGTTTTCTTTTAAAAATAATCATAGGAGGTATGTAGTGTCCCACACAATTAAAAGCTAGTATAACAGTTGTTGTTTGGCCTCTCTCACCACTAGTTACTGAAGATACAACACGTTGGCCTGTAAAAATACAATTATAAAAATATAGACAATACAAAATAAAAATAAATACAGACACACAAATAATAGTTTGATTTTTCACTAAAGCAAATAAAAAAATTTGCAACTTCTCACTTATTACCTTTATGAGCTATTACTTTTAAAGGCTTGTGAACACATGTTAATCCAGATTCATCACAGTTGTAGATTTGCTTCAAATTGGTTTTCATTAATAAGTTTTTCTAGATTTTCAAAATATCTTTGAACAGCAGCCTTATTTAAACCAAAAACTCGATTTTCGGATACTGCCTCAGGTTATCGATTAGACAAAAAGGGTTGTCGTTTCAAAAATCCAATTATAAAATCTCGACCTGCAAGTTTCTTTTCAGTATTAAATGGATGGTTTATCTATTGCGTACAACATAGTCATACACCACCCTTTGAAGTTCATTAATTGATAGACCATAAAAGACTAACTCCATTTTGATTATATGCTGTGCCAAATCTTTTTCTTGGGCATCAGATAACACTTATAAGAACCAAGCAATTTTATGTGTGGTTTATCATCATGCATTGTTTTTATTGATTTATTAACTCTTCTGTTGAGAGAATCTTTTGAAACCGAATATTCATTAGCAGCTTTACTTAATGTCATTTCTTTATTTTTGACAGCTTGGATAGCTAATTTCACATTGCTTTCATCCCAATTTCCACGATTTGTTTTTCGTTTGTAATTTCTAACCATCATAAAAACCATAAAATGTTTACCAAAATTTTTTTTGATTTTTCGGAGTATATATCAGAGTATCTAAAAATTAAAACAACTGAATAATGGACTGTCTCGTCTTTCCCACAAAGACCGTATGTTAAAAACATAAAATTCTTACCTTAAAAATCAAATTAAGTTTTCTTTTCTTTTTGGGGTATGAATAATAGAAAAATCTTTTTTTAAAAAATTAGCAGCACAACACTAGTACATCTAAATATATATCAAGAATATGAATTGCATTGAATATGTCTTCACTAAGAAACGCGTTGAAAAAAATAATGGCTTTACTAAGTTTCAAAAATACCAGTTATTTTGTCATCAAACAAACTAAACATTCCAAAAAACAGGTGTATTAAGCTTAGCAAGTACAACCATAAACTAAATGCTTAATATTAATGAAGGACTATGATGATTACTATCTCCAGAAAGGATACAAGAAAGTTGACTCATCTTTCCCGTTGTCGCATATTTCCCCGTTAAAGAAGTATCCGTAAACTAACGCATGCGCAGAATATCATTTTGTTTAATTTAACGATCTACTTATTTAACTTGACACCGTGCTAAATATTAATTTTAACATATTTACACTTTTAGTATAAAATCAAAACTGATATGTAAATGTTTTTTACAAAAAATACAATAAAAAAACCAAATGAAGTTTCTGTGCATATTTACTCTAAATATGCACAGAAACTTCATTTAAAAAATACTCAAGTGTATATTTAAAAAATACTCAAGTGTATATTCAATCTAAACCAAGCCGCTTTACTGCATATGACATTTTAAAAGAGTTTTGTATTTTTATTTCAAGAAAAATTTTTAATAAGAACGATGCCAAAAACTGCTTGATTAGGAAATACATGCTTCCATTAAACCACGCGTCCCATCTTCAAACCAGCCGTAAACCATTTACGGAAGCCCTGTGCCAATCCCAGTAAAAACCCAGATTTTATTTGCGGCATTATTTTCACATCATAGCCCGAACCCAATCCCAGTAATCCCAGCTCAATCCCAGTCGATGCCAGCTGGGACCCAGATGGGCTGGTTAACTGGGATGTTTTTAAATTATATGCTTATCTCCGGTAAATTGTACAAACTTAAAACCTAATATTTTTATTTCTCTAAGGTTAACACCTTAGAGAATTTCAACTTGAAAATTTGAATCAGATTTATTCTGAAAGCTCGTTTACAAAAATCAAATGTATTAAGAAACTGTTGCGCAATGTAATTACATTAGTAACTCCTTTTTTTTTTAAATTTCACAACTCATTGTCACCATTTTAAATAAACAATTTATCTATGTTTGTATTTGCTTTTGCATTATCTTTCTTATTTTAAAGAGCTGAAATAATTTTATGTTATAACAAAGCGGAGCACAGCGGTTAATCAAATTTCTGGGAATTTTTCGTGAAATGATTAATCGATGTTATTCATTTCACAAAACATAAATACTTTATCAATGCATCGTGAAATGATGTATTTTGCAAATTTAATTATAAAATCAACAGCTTCATAATCTTTTTTTAAAACCATTTTTTAAAATGTTTAAACTAATATTCATTTTATATCTGCTTCTTGTCGTATTTACTGGAAAAATAAAAATAAGCAGCTATATGTTTGCATCAAGCGATTTCATTTTTGACACACCAGACGTCGTTAAAGAATATTTTCGAGAAGATGGAACCAAAGTACGCTTAAACGCTTATCGAACCAAAAACCATGAAAAATTTCTGGAAAACAAACAGTATAGCAGCCTTAGATGGTTTTCGTTGGGCCAGCCAGATATTGTTAATTTTAGTAACAACAGTAAGTTTGGATTTCGGAAACATGCCTTCTGGGTTCAATTTGAAATGTTGACAGATCTCGATAAAAAGCAGTTAGCAGAAGAAGTGCGTCGTTCCAAAGATATTGTCGTAGATCCATCACAGTTTTCGGACATAGACGCTAACACAGTAGAATGCTTCATTGATTTGTATGACGTTAAAGAACAAAAATCAATAACACTTAAGGGAAAAGTATATAGCTTAAATAAATCACCGTATGAAATAGATTTTAAATATCCAGTTGGTACTAAAGAAAGAAACCTATTTGAGCAAGATATAAAAACGGAGTCAAATCTTAAGTTTATATGTAATGTAACAGCAGGCGCTCAGATTCAAAAGTCTAATACATTTACTATTACATTACAAGATAGTAACAATCTCCGACTGAGCGATAAATTGTTTGGTCCTGCCAATGAGGTGTATGTTACCCGAGATCAGCTGACAGAACTAAGCAATGAAGTCAACTCTTATTTTAATGTAATTGAGGACTATCAGATTTCACAAGAACAATTTAGTTTAGCATTTGTTGACAGTTTAGTTAGCTTAAGTGGGCAAACAACGTTTAAGCCAGTTAACTTGGATGATACTTTGAAAAGTTTATCAAAGTATTCAATGGATTTTCAAAATGATTTGAATCCAGATCAAATAAAGAAAGATTTATCTGAAGTATTTAAAATTGAAAAGCTAGGTAACAAAAGCCGGATTGTGTTTGATGAAAAATATTATAAAGAATTAGAAAAACAATGTTCTGAAAATGGTGCTACTTCAGCTTCGGTTAAATTGTTTGGAAAGGGTGCTTCAGCTTTAGTTTCGTATGCAAATAGTCAGGCTAATCATTGGCTTGAGAAGGGTAGCAGTTTAGATGATCAATTAAGAGATTTGAATAAATATTCAGAAAATAAAATAAACTATGAATTTGAAGGAAACAAAATAGTGCCAAAGACTCTGCAAGTCAGTAAACTACAAGCTTCGGCATTTAAAAAAACTCTTAGTTTCTCGCGAATAAAACATTATTATTACGAAGCTGATTACAACCGGGTTTTTAGTTTGAACACGGAAAACTCAAAAAAATTATTAAATCAGTGGCAATTAATAAAAGAAATTGAAATATTAAAAGAACAAATTGAAAATGATAAAAAAAATCAAATTAGGATGCTTAGCTCAGAAAAAATGCTGCAATTGTTTGACTCAAACGGAAAAGGTCAAGGAGAAATGAGTGGTTGGTATTTATGCGATGGACGAAACGGAACACCTGATCTGCGTGGTCGATTTTTGGTTGGAAAAGGAGGCGAAGGATTTGAACAGGTTGGAAATACAGGAGGAACCGCCAAAGTTAAACTGACAGTATCACAAATTCCATCGCATTCGCATCCTCATATTCATTCAATTAATCTAAATACAAATTCAGCTGGGTCTCACGTCCACAATTACCAAGATATTTATTACAGTGAGATTAATTCAGAGTCGTCAAACTGGGTTAGTGTTCCAAACGGTTTGGGATCTAAAAGTAGTGACAGAGATAATTCTGGTCACCAGATGTGGAGAAACACTGAATATAATGGCATCCATAGTCATTATGTCGAAGGAGTGACTGATAATTCTGATGTAACAACAGGTGGTAATCAAGAACACGAAAATCGTCCACCTTTCTATGTTGTTCAATACATAATCTATTTAGGACTCTAAAGGACTAGTATTACAAAAAAAATCATAAAACTAATTATTCAAAAACTATTGTTTAATAAAAAAATTATCTAGTTTAACTTTTAAATCAATATACCATTTTATTTACAATTAAAAATGCAATTAAAAAGTAACCGAAGGGGAAACAAAGGTTATGCTAAAACATCTTCAATAATTGAAAAGTTGAAGAATTGTTAAGATAATCTTAATATTAAAAAAAAATCTTATTATTATTGAAAAAAATTTATATTTACGATATATTTAGTTATTTGAAAATATATACATTACTTAATTTGAAATAAATTTTTTTCCTGAAAATACATATTTTTCTGTTACAATGCAATGTTTACATAACAAAAAAGAAGTTTACAAAAATATGATCAAAGAAAATACTGTTGATCAATAACAGTGAAAGAAACAGAAAGAAGGGGGTAGGAGGGTATGCATGCCCCTCATCTTCACCAGAACTTATAAAAAAATTTAAATTTCAAGGTTCAAAGAACACCCATTTTAACAATATATATAGAGAAGCAATTCTGATGAGGAGGGGGCTGTATTATCCCCATACGAAATTAATTAATTGGCAAATTTGAATACAGCAGCAGACAAAATTGAATCTGTAGATGGCAGTCAGCAAATCTTAGTCAACGTATTTTTTTTTTAGTTTTGGTATTATATATACCAAAACTTTACCCTCTCATCCCCTCCCCTAACACCACTAAAAAATTCTAGAACCGTCACTGATCAGTAAATTGATCAAAATTTTTTCATGGAGCTGTGTGTGCTATGAAAGTTAAATAAAACTAATATATGAGTCGTTTATTTTGAAAGTCAATTTTTCTAAAAAATCAAGTTATTGATAAAATTGTAACGGTATTTCTTCATTTGCAAAATAATTTAATTTTATATCTAAATAATGTTCCACACAATTTTAATCAATTGTGTCGAAAATTATTGAGATATTTTGGAAAGTTTTGCTAGTTAACGGTATAACGGTTAAAACACAAACCTTTAAAAATCTCTATTTTAAAACAAAGTCTCTTTCAAAAAAAACGGCTCATATGGAGTTTGGTTTAGATAGAGTTAATTGTCTAGTTTAAAATATTGGTACATTTAAAATTTTAACATATTAAATTTTTAAAAAGTTTTTTAAATTGATTAAAAATGTTTTAAAATAGTTTATATTTTGCTCTTGTTTTGCCTCAATTATAGTACACTTTATTTCAATTATAGTACACTTTATTTCAATTATAGTACACTTTATTTCAATTATAGTACACTTTATTTCAATTATAGTACACTTTATTTCAATTATAGTACACTTTATTTCAATTATAGTACACTTTATTTCAATTATAGTACACTTTATTTCAATTATAGTACACTTTATTTCAATTATAGTACACTTTATTTC